GACTGGAGTTCAGACGTGTGCTCTTCCGATCTTCGTTTCCTTTTCTCTCTCAAACTTGCTTCCCAATCTTCATCCGAACTCGATGAGCTTTCAGTAATACAATTTCTTCGACGCATTAATAACGTAGTGTAAATCACAACAGCGTCCATGTTTGATATTATTATCCACAAGGACCACGAGTCTGTTCCGTTACAGTTAAAGTCCGCGACGTTTATAAGTTAATGGAACAAGAAAACTGCGGTCCATGTGTGCGAGCGTTGCGGGCGCTAAGTGGAACGTACCCTAAGTAACCACTAGGAACTACGAGTGTCAGGGGGCTGGTTACGTCTCTAGCGTGACGCCAACCGACACGCGCGCTCCAGGAAAAATTTTTCACGAGCACATAGCTAGTAACTTTGTATCGCGTCCTGTGGTGGGCGGGATTATTGGACAAATGCGTCTGGACGCGGACAAATTGATTTAGGGATATTTGATCATGGAAGTCAGAGGTTAGGGAATTAGTCGATAAGTGAGGCAACCTCTAGAGGTCCAAATAGTCCTGAGAGATACAAACGATAGAAACTTCTTCGTCTAAATGAGGGATCGACTCGGAATAGATTGTAAGAAATGCCCAGTTCGACTAGTTATTTTCCCCAACAGTAGTATTTCTTTTCTAAGTTGGCAATTAGTAGCGCTTCCGTTCCGCGGCGCTAGTGTTCTCGTGATCGCCTCGCGATTGGCGGACTCATCCCGCGTACGTGCTGCGCCCGCGCGACGGGCCACGTGAGCCCTTGGCGTCCTCTGATTGGCGCATGTGATGCTCTTGCTATATCATCGTTTCCGCCTGGAGACGGTGAAACAGTCTTAAGTCTTTTGTCGACGAGAGAAGATCTCAGCCATTATGCCTCGCGAGTCGAGCGCCTTTTTCGTGTTAATTGAATAAATGTGTGTTCTGTTAATTACTGTGTACCACGAGTGTCTACCCTAGTTACGTTCCTCCAATATTCCTGACAAATATCTCTACATCCTTTCGCCGGTAATAAAACCGGCTAGTAATATCCTTTCAAGATTAAGTGCTTGATAAAATCTTCGCGGAAAAGCTTGCAAATTGAACAGTGGCGCACTGTGCGCAGTTTCGGAATTCTTTGTCGGCAAGCGCAATAGTATTCAAATCCTTCTGTTTCTAAGTAACCAAACCGTAAGTAATGACGAGCTACTAATTCTAATGATTCTTCCAGGTGACCCTGTCTGAGAATGCAAGCTGTGCAGAAGAGTTCACCAGTCTCGGTATGCCGATAGAAGAGTGCCTTGCAACATATAGCAGTACGGAGCCAAATATCAATAGGCATCGGTCGGGGTGAATAATCGGGGTCGTCCTCTGGAAGGATAAGGAAATCGTGGAGATCCATGCTGAGGAAAAGGATGCATGACTTGGATATCGTTTAGTGAAAACGCTTTTACTGCAAGTACGTGTCAATGTAAAGGTAGTTTAGATTTAGTTTACAATAGCTTTGTTAAGTTAATTTATAAGGAAAAGTTGTGAATTAATATTTAAACGGGCTAATATTCTGTATCAACGAGAAATGCCTTTATTAATGATAATCTTGTGAGATACAGATATGGGAAACTTCTCTGTTTAAGTGTGGAAGGTTCAATGAACCCCTATTATGCTTGAACTTAACGAAATCTTGAAGAAACAGCGGACAAATGGGGCAATCGATTGCGACTTGCAACTGGGTGATCACTTGATCACACACGCAGCACTCTTTGAGTCCTTCGTACCTCGCGCGCCCAATGCGGAGATAGTGCCGAGTTATACCCTCGACCTTTTCGCGGGGGTAAGGGGGTTTAGGCAGACACTTGGTACAAATAAACTGACCGTCCTCCAAGTGGCGGTAAAAAGTCGCTTTACAGCAGGCAGCTGTCTTTACTCATTCGTTGTACATATATAAGCAAGGATATTGATGCGGAGGCTCCTCAGGCAAGTCAGCGGAATTACTCGGATTGTGAGTTGCCATTTAAGCACAAGGTACTTGAAATATTTGTCGATAGAAAAAAACTTGCTTGTTTAACACGTATTTTCTTAAGGGTAGGCATAGTTAATAACACGTGCAGTATCGCATGCAAGGTTAGATGCTATGGAAATGTTAATTATTTCTTTTATGCTTCAGACAGCAACGCCTGTGGCCGAGCGGAAAATCACGCGCGTTACCTCAGCGGTGGATAACTCTTATATGCAATTCGGATGATAGCGAGGAAATTCGTTAGAGTATATGACAGCGCGGTGATCAAACAAATTTGAATACTTTAAATTGCATGTAAGTACTCGTATTGCTATAAGAAAATAGTTGAAATAGACGATGTTAAGAATAATATTATCGTATTTTGTTTTATTCGTTATTCGAGGCAGGGAAGGGGCGAATAGATTGTATGCGATTATCTAAGGATTAATCAACATGATATCGTTATCTGAAATTTCATGCAAGTAGTACTATTAATTCTGCAATGTTTCGTACTTCCTTGTAATATTTCGAAATATAGTACGAAACATAGTGTGATAACGCTTGATTAGGGATTGAATTATATTACTTAGTGCAATTATGAATATTATAAAGGCGTGTTATATTAAGATGATATAATATTATAGTAAAAGTGCAATATTGGTCAATAATAATATTTCAAGATATACAGGGTGATTCAGAATAAATATAGTGTCCTTAAACATACGTATTTCTGACCATATTCTGAGACGATTTTTCCTTTGGCAAAAATTGGTGCGGAGCTTAGTTTTCAAGTTATAAAGAGAAATAGTAAGCGAATTACGGGCCGCGTACGGAAGGTAGACAGGGGCGGCGCAACTTATTGTCCGACGGCAGGCGGTACGCGAGACCCTCGCGACTACACGCGCGCATAAACATGCGTTTACATTTTCTCTCTCTTTCTCTCTCTTTTTTATACACACACACGCACGCACGCACGCACGCATGCATGCACACACACGCACTAAACCTTACCTTTTAAAGATTTGTCAACTTCTGTAGCTTCTCGAAAAAGATAGATGAATTCTCATTTTGATGTGATTTCCACGTAATTAGTGTTTATTTTATTAAATTTTCGATAGTTTTAATGTAAACGTCACAAGTTATCCACTGACTGATACAGATTAAATAATTAATTGGTAATTCTTTAATTGGTAATTAATTCTTTTTTTACAAACCGTGTCACTTCAACATTTTACACTCGATTCACATACAAACTATTCATTTGAAGAAATCACAAGAAATCTATTAATGTATTTACTAATTAATAT